AGCACATCAGCTTTACATAGAGAATTTGCCCACAAGGGCGTGATAGCCAAAGACCATGCGAATGCATGATGCCAAAAGCATCCAGGGCAGAATCCACTGTCGCTTTAAATGTTTTCAGCAAGCGGTGGTTTGACTGGGCCAAGCCATCGTTTGATGAAATTCGAAGCCCTACAAGCCACCTCAGGAAGCGCAAGACTAGCATGGAATCACTTCCCTTCGTGTTTGCCCATGCAAAACTTGCCTTGGTCTTGACGTTGAAAAAACGCTTCCCAAATGAACGAAGCCCAGGCGTAACATGCTCTGATGCGCACCACAAACTGAAAAGGCCGTGTGCAGCCTCCAGTCGAAGCTCCAAGTTCTTGCTCCGGCGGTCGGACGCTTCATCCTGGCTTGTGAGGATGACAAAGAAACATGTTGAGGTTGCCCTACTTTGCTAGTAGCTTACAAGAAAAAAAAGGTAAGCGTTGCCTTAGCTCAAGCAAGTGGCAAAAAATTGTAGCTTTGCCATCGTTACAATCATGCTGCCGATGAGGTCTCGAGCTATTCCAACCTTAAAGACATGGAACACATCCAATGCGAAGGCCAGTTCTGGCGCAACTGGATTGTAGGGCACCCTCGATAGTTCTGGAGGAGTTTCCCAAGGTCTTGAAACTCCCATCGTAGCTGCCCAATCTGGCTCGTCCCGCGTGTCTTCAAAGGCTGGTAGTCCAAAGTTGGCAGCCCCAGCTTCACAAAGTGAGCACATCATCCCCCCTCTAAGTTTGTGGTATGACCGTGTAATGCCTATTTGGACCATGTGCTTCATATCACCTTTCACGGCGCAAAGCGCTCCAAAGATCTGTTCGCCTGATTTCAATGTAACCCCATCCCAGAACAAGGAGATCATGTCATTTGACAAAAGTTTCAAATGCTTGTCCAAGACCTCGGGGTCTCTGTACAGGCAAGCAGGCCACCCAAACAGCAGATGGCGAGTTACATACGAGTGGCCTTTATAGTTTGTGCTTTGCAAGGCAACACGGTGCAAGAGGTCTGGAGGCAAAGGGTTCATGACCCCATCAGCACGACATGTGTCAATACCAGCTGCCTCCATTTTTGAAACCTCCGAAGCACAGCAGCAAGCAAAATCTTTCATGTCTTGCAAGCCAAGCAAACACTCCACTGACCACACAAGGAACTTGTCACGTTTGGGCCCACGACCCTCATCGCCAAGCAGGGCCAATGGAAGAACTTGGTGGAGGTCGTTTGCATGGTGTTGGAATACCACATGTTGAGGGTTGTTTTGCTCATATGCCGCCCAGAAAGACCGGAGCTGCAACGAGCGGTCCTGACACTGTCCAACCAAAGCATATGGCGCCTTGTTCATCAGGACCTTCACCCATTCACTGGGTTTGATCCAGTGGGTGGTGGTCTTACCATTCTGCAGTGGGTGCTCTACTCTCTCTATGTTGACTGGCATCGACAGGCCAAGCCGGGCAAATCTGCTGTGCATGTCACGACTAGCATTGCACCTGCTTTTCTCATGGAAGCAGCGTTCGTCACGCAACAGCTCAACGTCAGCCCGCCCAACCCTCGAAGAGTTTCCAGCTTTGATGGCTTTCTTCACGTACACAGCGTTGACCTGAAACAAACTTACACGCTGGCTTGTTTAGGCTAGAGCGCTGGCCCACAAACCCACAAAAAAAAGTTGAGGCTTGAGGGCACCACCCCATCTCCAAAGGATTCAGCCAGCGCAGCATCCAACGTCTCCACTGGTCGCTCATCATCATCACCTGCGAACAACTACAAAACTTACCCGTCTGTATTCTTTTTATGTCAAGCCCGGATTAATAGACTCACCTTAGTTTGGCCCGCCCAAAGATAAACACCTGGAAGAGATGTAGTCTTGGGGGTCCATTTCATTTACAGTAATCCGGGTTCGACGTTGGATGTTCCAACCTGCAAAGGATCCAAAAAGATTGCAGTCTAGTAGTTCCTTTCTGGGCGACTAGCAAACAGCTGCACTGCAGAATGACGGAAGAGACCCCGAGACCCCTTTTCTTTCTCACCCAGACTGAGGAGTCGTTTGTAAGATGAGACATCGAAGCTCATAGTCCGATCCAGGTCCAAAACGCCCAGTGGCATTTCAGCCACTAAAGCTGACCACCCAACGAAGTACATGACATGTTTGCCAAGCATGTGGCTTTGCCACTATGAGTCACCCCCACGCTGACGCTTTGACGCAGGGTGTGTTTTTGCATCTGCCCTCTTACCTTTGGGGGGCTTAGGGGCACTCGCTTTGGCTTTGGTCTTGGCCCCCGCTTTTGCGGTTGCTTTTGCACCACACCTCAAAGGTGAGACCCTGAGGTGGGATTTGATCAACTGAGAAAAGCACAAGCTGTTTTGAAACATATATATTGGTCTCACCACAGCAAAGAAAATCATGAAGCTTGAGGCTTAAGGCTGGAACTTCACACGGCGGTCCATGCACAAAGCCTCCAAGGCCCTAAGATGAAACAAGGGAAGTGGATGGGTTGAATAGCCCGGGAGCACAAATGCTCAGGCCATGGCAGTTTCTTCGCAGAGTCCACCTGCGACCTGATTTTCTTTTGGCTCCTTGGACCCAAAACGGCAGAGAGCAAAAAGAACCTGTAAGGATAGGAAGAATAGTCGTTGGCTTGCATGCCAGGGTGCTCTTTGGTGAAGCCATCTACAACTCCCGTGGTGTAGCTCTCATTCAGGGTGGCATCAGCTGACTGGAGGCCATCATATAGGGATCTGATCTTCTCAAGCAGCCTCATCCACAGCGGCCACCGATCCGACCAAATTAGGGTATACAGGAAACAAAGTTGACGAGGACATAGGGCGCAGTCTAGAAACTTCTTGTGCATTTCATTGGGGGCCGCAACAGCTTCCAACGTCATCTTGTGTTCCGCCAACTTTGCCACACGCTTTTGGATAGCAACACTTACTTTGGGCACAACCGACGCAGGCTGGACCTCTTTCTCAACCATTGGGAAGTTAAGCTTCTTCATCATGCTCTCTGCCTCCTCCCCATCATCTGATGAGAACTCTTCACCATCGGAATCACCTTAGATTAATTGTGAGCACCCCCAGCCTATAGTTCCAACAACAACAATTCACCAACCCCATATCTGTTGGGTGGGAAGATATAAAGGAAGGGGTTGAACCAAGAATTGAGCCACCCCCATGACGTCCCTTCTGAGGCAAAGGGGGAAAGTCATTCTCCTCATCGGAGATTTCCATTTTTTCCTCATCGCCGCTCTCCATCTCATCCTCGATCGTGCGCTCAAGCATGGAGCGGCGCGTGTTCCTGAGCCAACGGAGCCGAAGCTCAGAACCGACGAAGAACAGCAAAGGTGATGTGAGCGGATGGGCAAGCCGTGGACAAGATGTCCTTCAACTGGCAAGATCGCTTTCAGTCAACGCTCAAGCCATTGGTTCGCGAGCTGAGCAGAGCGCTCACGCGAAGAGAGAGAGCATGACTACCTACACACGCAGAGCTTTGAGGTCGTGCCGCTGCTCATGGACAGGAAAATGCGTGGCAACATCGTTATACTACCCGGCAGAGCACCACGGCGAAGGTCCTACCGATGTCATGACCACCGTCATCATCATCATCATCATGATCATTGCATCATTTGTCATACCAACATCACAATCATCATCAACACCATCATCAACAACCTATCATCATCAATATCATCATCATTATTAAAATCATCATCATATCACCGTCGGCATCACCATCATATATTTGCCATCACCAATCACCATCTTTATCAGCACAGTCATTGCACCATCTTCATCATCATCATCATCATCGTCGTCGTCGTCATCACACCATCATCAGCAGCATCATCATCGTTATCAGCATCAACATCATCATCCCCATCATCATCGTCATCGTCGTCCTCATCGTCCTCACCATCTTCGTCGGGATTGCAGAAGCCGCAAGTTTGTCCAAGTTAAGTTGTGCACGTCACGCCGCAGTCTTTGAATGCGCTGGTAGCATGCCTGCCAGTAAGTTCCGTTGGGAGAGAATCGCAGTCCCAAAGCCCTCAATACGGGTTAGGAAATGAAGAGACCTATAGTCTGATCCCACCCAACCTGAAGCGGAGTCCAGTAGGTGTCTTTGTAAATCTAAACAACCTTGTGTGAGCCAGGTCTTGAAGAGGGTTGAGGGCCCAAAGGTGTTGGGGGAGAGCGCTCCCAATTGGAGCCTCACTTGTGTTTAGGTGGCCTTCCACACCCTGTTGGATGTTATTCGCAAACCTGATCACCCAGAAACCCAAAAGGGCGCCTCTTTTTTAGTTGGGACACTTCGGAAGGCACAACATGGCTGGGATGCTCTGTGCGAGGGACTGTTCTTCCCCACCCGAAAAAGAAAAAAGTAAAAGTGTAGAGCGTGCCCAAAACATTCAATTCAGTTTCTCTATAACTATAAAATGGAACTCCTGAGCACTTCATGACCTCTATCCAAACCCACACCCCTAGTCAATAGACAGTCTCAATAGTCTCCTGAGCACTCATGATATCACTCGCATCACCAACCCCCTAAAACATACATGTTCACTACTTTCCGGACCGCCTCTTTTTTCGCTTTCCCCTGCCAGGCTCTGGGTAATCCAGGGTGGCCGGGTTTGCGACCCCGGGTATTTCATCTTCTTTGAGCAGTCATGACCTGATTGAAAATTACGGCTCTATAACATGCCATGTTCAGGCTTTGCAGGGCACCCTCACTTTCGAATTGCCTTTTAATTGGATTTTGTAAAGGTAAACGGTGTCCCCATTCTTATAGTGATCCATTTCACTGGCATCATTATAGCATCATTCAAAGGGGCCCATGGGCGGCCGCCCATTCGATTGAAACCCACTGGCCAGAACCGCAACCAGTACAACTTCGCAACCTTCCATCAGGTCGCAGAAGGTGCAAACCCGCCCCAACCCATCCAATCTCAGAGCAATCGATTCCGAGGTGGCAGCCCAGCTGCCTACCCTACTCATGCAAAGCATGCAGAGGCCTGGTCTGCAAATCCAAGTTTCTTTTGTTGTCCCTTTGTGCTCACCAGCGTCCAGTAGAGCCATCCTTCGCCGTAGATGCTCTTCCTGCCCCGTTGAAAACAGGTGGGCGAACCAACATGTGAGTCAAGGGGTTACATGCACCGCTTCAAAGACACACAAGCTGATCGAGCGATGGCAGTCTTGCGCCAAGAGGGCTTTCGGCTGCATCTCCGAATGACACCATTGATCTTTTTCCTCAGAGGTCATTCCAATATTGGTCCCAGGACAGGAAGAACAAAATCTAGCATGGCGCGTTTGATCCTAAAGCCAAGATTCTCAGACCAACCTTTCTCTTTCATATCCTCCACACTCAAGAACTCCCAGTTGGTCTCAAAAGAGTTTTCGGAGATCTCCTGATAGACCCTCTTGACTTTGCGAATGAACAACTCCTGGGGATTGACAGAGTATGGACACAATGGTTTGGGATGGGTGAACGTCACAAAACATAGCTCAAACATAGCTCAATTGTGGGGTCCTTGTCGTAACCAGCTTTCTCAAACATCTTCTTGATGGTGTTTCTCGTATCTTCGCTTTCCCAATCCACCAAAACCTCTTCAGGGACCAGGGAGCTTCCATTAGCTCGACGCTTCAGGAGCCTGTTCAAGCGTGACCTAATGGCCCCATCAGAGAGCGGCTTTGGCGGTTCAGGGACATCAACCTGTTCCCCCGTCGTTTTACCACCCATTGGCTCGGTAGGCGGCGGTTCTTGGGTTTCCCCTTGCTGACGGGGAGGCTGAGGTTGTGGAGAGCCAGGCTTCTCAGCATCGACCAAGGTGTCTTGCAAGGTGGCCGCCTCTTCATTTGGAGGGAAATAGACCTGAGTTCCATGGCAATCAGCTGCTATCACATGACCCACTGCCATCAATACAAACAAAGCCCACGCAGCGCCGTGCAGCTAAGAGGCTGTAGCCTGAGGGGAAAGTGGCGTGTGGGCGTCCTTCTTGTCCTCCATCCCGTCCTCATGAGATAAGTCAAATGAATACGAAGGCTTGCCACTTCTGGTGTTTCGTCAACTTGGTCGGACCTTCAACCACATGGGATTTGGCACTTCGAGGAAACAAGGGTCCTGCGTCTCATGAATCTCAATCACCTCCGCCGGCGCCGCAGGTGGTTGCGACCTTGCCGCCAGTTGGCGAGCTTCCTGGAGTGCCTGGGTTGGAAGTTGGTGGTGAGAGGGGCTTAATAACATTCGGTATTGTGGTTCCATATATTGACTGTGCCTAGATGCAAGGAGCTTTTGCTTCTCTGCAACCATCAACTGGTATTGCGGGTCGCTCTCCAAACTCATGGTGGCGGAACGAAGCACACCCAAACCCCTGTCCAAGGTTTCTGTTGACATCTCACTTTTCCAACCACCGACCTAGAAATGGCTTCAGACCACGAATGTAAGCAAATCAAGGTGCAAAGGGCACTAGCAAACCTCATGGACTTCCATGGTTTGAGGCGTACGGGCAAGAACGCCTATTGTACGGGTAAGAACGCCTATTGTACGGGTAAGAACGCCTATTTCCAAACTTGATTTTTTTGAGTTTTTTGGAGACATTGAGGCGCACTACCTTTCCACACCACACAGCTGCGCAGTGCAGAGTCAGGCTAAAGATTCTCCAAGTAAGAGCCCACAGACCCCCGAAACTCTTCAGGGATCTTCAGCTTTGAGCTCCTCTTAATGTACTGTAAACACTGGACTATGCCAGCGTCCTCCCACCGGTCCGTGTCAGGCATCTCACAAATCAGGGTTGGAAGATCCACGCGCTCCACTACCTCAGCCATGAAGACATCGGTCCCTTCCCATGAAGACAGCATGGTCTGTTGCAAAGGCCCCGAACAAACAAAGAACAGATCAAACTCTCAGGTTGAATGTCCCAAGGCTTGATAATCGACCAAGCTACCGGTTTTAGTTTGGGTTTGTCTTTGAGGAGGCTCCGGCGGAGTCGCAAGATCTTGGCACAGAAGGCAGGCGTATACTCCCTGGGTCGAGCCAAGTGAGTGGAATGATTGAAGGGACACCCAGAAGCTTTCCCGGGAGAGTTTGTGCCGGAAGAAGAACTAACTATTGAACACCAAGGGTGGTGTCTTCCACTTTCATAACTAGTTTTGCCCTTTGGTGTTTCGTGTCTTGGGGATCTCGAGGGCATGGCGTGGGAAAGCCCGTATCCTTCAGGACACGGCGGAAAGGAGAGACAGAGAGGGAGGCCAACCCCCAGGAACCACACACAAAACGTTACCGCTGCACTGGGTGATTTTGTTGAAAAATCCATACGGCAGGAAAATCAACACCTGAAAAATCGTGTACTAGCAAGCGGCCAAAGAGCTGAGTTTGTTTGAGGGCACGGGTGCCAGTGTACCCCACTGCTCCACTCTTGGTCGTGTATTTGCGAACTGTTTGGGGACCGTTCTTGATCTTCTTGGTGCTCATCTTTCCCATGTTGAGCCGCCAAACGGCAAAGCTGGTGCTCCATACCCGGGTCCGCTTATAGTTGGCATGGCCATAGTGCTTCATGTAGAACGCGGTTCTCCACATCTAGGCTAGGGTTGGGAAACACGTTAGAAACCTATCCATTTAGTCTGGGTCCCATTAAGCAAAAACCCGCAAAGAATGGAAACTGTTAGTTAGTTGCAAAGAAAAGAATCGCAAACACCTTTCTTCTTCAGCTCCCGTAGTAGCCACAAAAGCCGGTCGTGTGAAAATATCACTGAGGAATTTGGGTTTTCCACCAACGGGACCGAGCCAGCACAAATAATGAGTAAGATCACCAGGCTGCACCTAGCAGGGACATGGTCGAAAGTTGTTATTTGGTAGGGCTTCACCAATTCCACACCCAGAAAGCTACTACGGCCAGGGAAACCAGCGCAACCCAAGCTCGAAAGATTCGGAGGCCCCCCACCCCGAAAAGCGACAAGAGTGGAGCAAACATGGGGCAGAACATGGGGGAAGGACTCCCGGTAAACTGTGGCCTTGCGACCATAAAGTTACTGGACTTTATCGAATCATAGTCCAGCAGGCCCATTGGCGTGAGGAACTGGTCCCGCTTGGACGTTCCACTGTTGATGGATACCCAGCTTGAGCAGCATATGCCCAAGAGTGATATCATGCCTCCAAAAACTGAACATAGAATCCCATGAAGAAGTAGCCTCGAAACAAAGAGGCAGCTCTTGTAAGCAGTCTTTGGGTTCCACACAGTGTCTGAAAGACACACACCCTCACATGGACCCTGCCACACCCTGGGAAACCCAAACTGATAAGCAGGTAGCAGTAGCTTTCTTGACCTGCTGATGTCCACCGAGTCTTTGGGTTAAATCCGACCCTCTTCAAATAGTGACCTCCATGGACCTCAACACTAAGAGGTACCGGTACAATAACCAAAACCACTGTTTGCACCAAAAGGACGCCGAACAATAACCAAACCCAACTTCTACAACAAGAGGATGCCGGTAGCAGTAGCTTTACAGACCTGTTGATGCCCATCAAGTCTTTGGGTTAAAGCAGACACCCCTCAAATTGTGACCTCCATAGACTTCAACACAAAGGATACAAACCACTTTTTCACACCAAGATGCCGATACCCTTCAAAATCCCAATTCATAAGAGCCCTACGGAGCTGTTGATGTTTTGGGTCCCGCGCGTTGTCTGAAAGACAAACACACCTCAAATAGTGACATCCATGGACCATGGACCCGAAGACGAGCCCCAAATGGAAAGCAGGTAGCAGTAGCCCTGCAGAGCTGTTGATGTCCATCGCACTCTTTGAGTACTTAGCCCCCTCTAAATCGAAGTCAATGTCATGGGCTTCCGATGGAATGCCCATAGATTTTGCCAGCCGTGTGAGGCGAGCTCGGCCGGCAAAGACTTCAATCACCTCTAAAGGCTGAGGCGGGGGTGGGATGTCCAAGTAGAACACAGCCATCACCAGTATCACGAACACCTCAGTGAACCCAAAAACACACTTGGTGGAAGCCATACCTGGGAGACAGTCCAAAAGAAGAACCCTTTGCAAATGAGGATATACGGACTGGGGTGGGTTTTCCGTAAATGCACTTCGTGTTCATTTTCTGGGTCAAAACACAAACAAGCACTTTGGGTGTATTTTGTTGTTCCATCGATAGGATAGGGCAAGAAGTTGCCTTCGGAGCATTGAAGTAGATCAGCCGCCGAACAGTGCATTGGAGCTCAGCTGGGGTCATGGCAGCGAAGCACACACACAAACGCGACCAGAGTGCTTGATGCTCGTGGAAACGAGGCCCACCCACGGATACTGGACAAATGGTTGATAGTTTTACGGCTGTATTACTTAACCACGTTGGGTGATTGCAACCCACACAGCTGCCACAGTTTCAAGTTTCATGAACCTTCCAAGTCCAAAGCCAACCCATCGACCAGGCTCGCCTCCTACATGTCCACGGGCAACGAAGCAATGAAGTCCTTGAGGCATTTCCAGCCAAGGTGTACCTGGAACAGATGCAGTAGTGGTGAGCACAAAGACCATGATCAGTGCTGGCAGCTCAAGTCTTGTGGCTGCTTCGTAGCCCGCATTCTTTTTTGCAGCTCAAACCCCTGTTGGTGGAATCCCACATTATGTGCCACCCACCCGTGTGAAAGGCACACAGGATCCAAACTAGTCTCGCGCATGGCAAATTGGCATGCCATGCGCCCCAGTCACAAATCACCGCCTGCAGGCAGCGCTTGGCACGGTCATCCACTCGATCAGACCTGAGGACCGATCCAGTGCAGGGCATGATGTTCCAAAACAGGTTGATTGTGATCAGTGTGACTTGAAATTTGAGTGGAGGTTGAGAACAAATAAGTCAACTAATGTAGAGTGCAGTCAGAAGACACGCTGCTGAATTGTCACAAACTCCGTGGCCCACTCCTCCGCCAAAGCCAAGAAAGCGTCTGGGCCAGCCTTCTCCTCGATCACATTGAACCGTGGGCTACAGAACTTCCAGAAGGGGTCCTGGACAAGTGACAAGCGACCAAGGCCCACCAAACATGACAAACGCACCAAACATGACAAACGCAACCGGAGACATGACAAACATGACAAAACATGACAAACAAACATGACAAACTTTGGTCCTCCAGGTGGCTGGCAGGGCTCAACACGCTCTTGACGTGTGAGGCAAAGGCTGAACAGAGAGCGAGCCACCACTGGGCTTTGACTGGGTTCTTGGGCTGGTACCGCCGGGCAAAGGATGCTGTGGGATTCGGTTTCTCGTCTGCCTTCTCATGTTCCTTCTTGTTCTTCTTGCACGGTGGCTTCTCAGCCGTTGCGCTTGAGTCCTTCGCCTGTCTCTTGGTCTTGCCTTTGCCCATCTCGCCCCCGTACTTCTCTAACAAGTACTGCAGCTGCGCCCGCTCTTCATCCGCCTTGTCTTCATGGCCTCTCTTGGCCTTCCGCTTGCAAGCGGCCTTAGGTGTCATTTTCCCACCCTCCTCCTTCTCCACATCAGCATCAGTCTCGCGAGCCCCATTCTTCTTGTCTTCGACTCGCTTCGGCTTTCCTTTGGCCTTGGCCTTTGCTTCCCCTCGTGGGGCTCTGGGCTTTCCAGCAGACTTTCCAGCCGGGCGCTTCAAGGGAGGCATGTCATCATCAGACCCATCCTCTCCATCCTGTCCTTGCTTTGGTTTTCTTCCCCCAGACATCTTGGTACGCATTTCATCTTGCAGGGCCCGGTCCATGTCTACCT